CACGCTCGGCTGACTGCAATTTAGCGTGAACCCCCAGGGAGTTAGGTCGATCCAGATCTAAATCTCTGGGAATGCACCCTTAGATTTCATAGAATCTAAATATAGCAACTTGACAGTATAACAATACCTCGTTTGTTATCCAAAATCACAGATTTGTGGCCTGTCCAGCCAACAATGTGTGGTTGGGTGGTAGGAGTCTCAATGAAGGTGAATAAAATGAATGTGTTTCAGAAATGGGGGAAGATAAATTCCTAGTAGAGGTCAAGACATGCTGCATAATAGAAAAAGAGGCTGGAAATTTATCCAAAAAGCCTACTTCAGTTTAATTATTTCCTTTTCCAGGAGATTACTTGAGTGGGACTATGACTTGTTTTTTAACAGCATCATTTTTTTTGACAATTATTTTTTAATTCATCACCACAGGGTTGATAACAAAGCTGAGGGGTCAAAGTGTTTATAACCCAGAGGCAATACCAGTGTTAAAGGGTGTCTTGCCCTTGTACATTTACATGCACTGGGCAAAGATGGGCATATGCTTTACCTGTAACCTGCATGACCTTCTTGTAATATTTGTTTATTTAGTGAAACTTCATTAAAGCACTATGGGTAATTGCTGAAATATGAGAGTCATAAGTTAGGTTTATTTCTTATCCAGCCAGTATATTTACTGTAATTCATTATTTACCCCTCACACTTGCAACAACTACCAGAGAAATTCGGTAATTCGCATTTCTACAACATAGCTCCTCTGTTGCAGTACATATTTAGCCCAGCCAAAATCTGCTTAACTGGTTAACAAGCAGTGTCTCTCTGTAAGCAGGTTTGATAGATAAAATATATTTTTGTTTTTAAAAGGTGTAACAAGCATAGCTGCTGAATTTTATGATCTATTTAATTTTACTTTAGGGGGAGGGAATGTCATACATGTACAGTGAGAGTATAAAAATAACAGCAGTCTGGTTTTTCTGTTGGTACCTTATTAATTAATTTTTCTGATTCACCCAACCAATACCTTTTCCTCAAAATAAGGGTTAGTCACACTCAAAAATCAACTAATCAATTCTGGCTGGCCTAATTATATTTTAATCAAAGAACTAGAATACTAATGCCCCTGTTGTAAAGATTTTTTACCTACTGTATATTATTTTTTACTTAAGTAGTATGCATATGGTATATACATTATAGGGTTAAAAACTGGCTACTTGATGCCTGCTGCCATGTTATTGAACCAATTTTATATCATTTCAAAGTGCAGTGATATTTTGGGGATAAAGTGCATTTGACATAACGATAAGACTTTAAATAATGCACTCAAATAACTTTTTGGAACGTATATAGCTCTAATGAATTTCAAGGTCATCAGAAGTTGTTTGCATTTTGCTTTCATTATAAATAACTTTATCTACTGAAATGATTTGGTAGTCTATGAAATTATCTGATTTTTTTATGTGTGCCACTCAATCATCATTTATCATACACAAAAAGATAGTAGTAATAGGCTCTGTTCCCATAGATTTTAGATCGATCTATCCCTGCGGGGAGTCTCATTAGATTACTTTCAGATAATCCGACTTAAATGTCCGTTCCGCCTACTACAAGCTGTAAGGAGGTAATTAACTTTCGTGTCCGCCCCGCTGACAGCTATTTAGCGTGAACCCCCAGGGAGTTAGGTCGATCTAAAGTAGGTCGATCTAATCTATGGAAATGGGGTGATAGTCATCATCATAAGCTAAGCAGGCTTTAACTCAGATGAAGTGAGAGATGCTTGGAATATCTAGAGCACACTTCATGCTGATATGAAAGCATTTGAGTATCTGTATGTTTTGTGATATGAACATCATTTGGACTTTAACAACTCCCCATGTTAGTGGATTTTCAGGTGGGGTCAAGTCGGGCCTTAAACGAGTCATCAGTAGCCTCCATTCCAGTTATACTTTACAGCTCCAAGTCAATCAAAACATTAGAGCATTACATTCCAAAAATCTTCCATTTTCTCTGTCTTTTTATATTTCTGGAGATTTTTTTTTAAATTTCCCTGGAAAAATCTATAACTTTGTTAATATAGCTTCTAAATACTTTGGTACATGTATAATCCATATATTGTCTAGAGCTAAAAGCTTGTTGTAGCAATGTTATTGTGTCATTAAATATAAGTAAATAAAGACAAGTGTGGTGGACCATGAAGGCTTCAGGGGTATTGGGGATGTCATTTTTATTATGGAATAATTGCTATTTTTGTTATACTTAAGCAATTAAATAAATATTTTCCTCTTATTTTTAAAAAAAATTTTTTGGAGGCTTTTTTTTTAACTTGATGGCCTGCTAAATGTAAATTGAGAAAAAATAACATACGACACCCTTGAAGTTTGTGGCCAAGTTTTGTTAAACACATTTCAAAATATGTATCACTGATTTTCCTTGTTATCAGTTAATTTTTTTAGAAAAAAATGCCTAGCCTCTGTGTATTTTTGATTTTAAATTCTCCTTTTTTTCTTCAGCGTCCCATGGAAGCAGTCTGAACTGCCTAGTCCATGTTGTGATGTACCTCTACTATGGACTGTCAGCCATACCTTCTGTAAGAAAACATCTCTGGTGGAAAAAATACATCACAAAATTCCAACTGGTAGGTAGTTGGTATCAGGTTTACTGATATAAGCATACAGTCATCATATTTATGAACCCCAAACAAAATTTCACTTTTATTGCTTTTATGCCTTTTGCTGTCAGTGCCATAAGAATTACCATGGTATTGATATTTAATATTAGATAAATATTTGTAAAATGTTTCTAGTAATTCTACTTCCAAAATATCTGTATGAAATGCAGGTTCTCTAATTTTTCATGATTTATTTTTCAGATACAGTTTTGTATCACTCTGAGCCACACACTTAACTCATTTAGAAACCAATGTCACTATCCAGTATGGGGAAAATACCTCCTGACTGGCTACATGGTTCTCATGCTGATTCTTTTCATGAATTTCTATGTTCATGCCTATTTCTTCAAGAAGAGAATTCATATAAAAACTGATCATCTTAGCAATGGTGCTACAAATGGGCATGCCAAAGGAGGCGATGGACATATTAAGAATGGCTACATTTCTCTGAAAGCTGATTAATGATTTCATACATTGTTAAAACTTAGTGTTTTTGATATGCTTCAACCACTTACAAAAAGTTTTTCTGTAGGAAAAATTATGGTGCCTTAAAATATCATCTCTATATTTTGTTGAGAATTTACAGTGTAAAACAAAAGCACTGGTGGCATTATTTTTGTGATTTTTTGAATTTTTCGACTGTTTGTGTAAGAACATTTTAAAGGGGTTTCAGCAGATAAAATGTCAGAAACAAAACAGTGTTAAAGGGTGTCTTGCCCTTGTACATTTACATGCACTGGGCAAAGATGGGCATATGCTTTACCTGTAGCCTGCGTGACCTTCTTGTAATATTTGTTTATCATGTTTATTGTTCAGTGAAGATATTAGAGGAGGAAACTCATGGATTTGACATCTGTTGTTAAGAAATGTAAGAGTTTTTGTCTTTATGAGGAATTTTTCATACTTTTAAGTAACAAGTTTGTCACTTGTCAGTTGTCACTGCTTTGCAACTGTTGCCACTGCTTTTTTTTTTCAAACAAGAATGGACACATATTCATGATAAATGAAGGAGTATATTTTGTTTTACTTGGTTAAATTCATTAGACATCCCTTTTTAGTTTTTTTAAAGATTGTATTGCGCTTGCATATTAATGGGTCAGCAGAATTTATTTTTGCAGCTGGTTGATTACATTTCAATGTTTAGATGTACATTGGATATAATTATTGTAATTTTCATTTGCTGTGATATAATAGAAAGAACTTTTATATGTGTAAAAATGTACGAGTTGAATTAGTACCAATTAATGAATTCCACTAGTCTTTACATTTGTAACTATTGTAAGAGCTTTATATTTTCATGTTGTCTCGTACTAAAACAATAAGTGCAGTGAAAAGAGTGGCAATTTTCAAAAGGTATTTTGTTTCCAAGTTGTGCCATATTTTAAGGCATTTCATCTTCATTTCCCTGCTATTTTCCATTATATTTATATAGTTCATGCTGTGGAATCATTTGCAAATGGGGACAGGACTGAAAAGTCTGGGATTCCAGGAATTGTCCAATCACTTTGCTTTGAAGTTGTAATTTATTACCCCTGATCTCTGCTTTATCTTTCTATGGGTCCATTTTTCATTAAAACCTTTGATATGATAGTGTGCCCCATTTGTTTTGTTAATATAGTTGCAATAGACGTTGTTTTAAATTACTAAGTCACTTAAGAATTTTATAAAATGTTCATTTTTTCAACTGTATAGAAGTGGTTTTATGGTAATTTGTTACAATTAAACTCTATGTTCTTTTTCATTTTTGATAATTTTAGCTAGACATGCATGAATACAGTCAAAATATCTCTTTAACATGCCTTTAATGTTCTTAGGCTAGTCTATGTTGATAATGACCAACATAACTGGTGTTATCACAGAGGCACCTGCATGTACATACATGTGTAAAATACTTGGTTTACAATCCAGCAGAAAGTGCCAACTTTTTTAATACTTAATTAGATGATTTATCTTGAAATTGAATTAAAGAATATAAGATTAAGATGCTCTGTCAGAACACAAAATAGTTCAATGTCCTATTTTAAATAATTTGCACACACAGAATGTATGCTTCACAACTTAAAAATGTTCAAATTCATGTTGTTTTTATATTCAACACACAGCTACAATGAAAATCATTGACATAATTTGTCATATTTCTTTGTTTTAACATCTAAATATTAAATTCTTATAGTTATTTAACCTGAATTTCCAGTTTGATCTGTTTGACTTAGCAACAATGTTTTATGACCTTCCATTAATGATACCTCAATCTGTCAAGATAAGCAGATGTTTGTGTTGAAAACCATTGTTTCAATATATTTTTAGCATTATAGGCCCCTTTTACCAGCATGTTCTATGTGTATTTTGTATATTGGTTGTGTGTCTGTATGACAAAAAAGAAACCCTATTATATAAATTACAGTAGTATTAAAATATTTCACTTGTCAAATTGAAATATAAGGTTGGATAAAATTTTGGTTTTGAAATATTCTCATTATTGGAAATGCAAAATAATAATCCCATCTTAAAACTGGACATTGCTTTTATTATCTCAAGTCCATTTACAGAATAAAATATTCACAATGGTTCAGATATTGATCCCATATAAATCACTAAAGAGAATTTAACAAACAGATTTTCTCTTAAATGGTTTTGTGGAAGGAATTTGCAAATTTTACCACCATGAACATGTTTTACTTTTTCAAAAATGTAAACTTACCAATCAAAATCTTGCTTTTGAAAAACTTTAGAGAATAACCTTTTTAATACCAAATTATTCAAAGATGCATACCAGCCTCTACAAATATAGTAATATTGCTGCTGTATGAATTACAATCATTAGTGGGAGTATAACTCCTGCAGCCAATCCTATGTCTATATTTACAATCTGATAGTGATTCCACCAAACAATCACTACAGTATTATAATCTTGCAATGAATTTCCAGCACAACATTGCCGAAGGGGAATTGATTTTTTTCCTTCACGACTTTGCACTGGTACTAGCTATTATTAAATTTTCATATCAGTATTTATTCTTGTGGTCAGGCTGTCTGCCACTTAAATAATTGAGACTTCATATTCATTGAATAGGTCCGTCTCACTGGAAGCTTTGATAGAATCTTCCATGAACAAAAATTATTAATACCAAAGGGAGTAGTAACAATTCCATTGCATATTCACAGAATCTTGATCGCTGTCAGTTTCTTTTTGCCAAAATGTGTATTGTTTTCTTCAAATTTGTTATTTCAAGCTCCTGCCACAAAAAGTCTTTAATTCCTATTAATGTCTTTAATTTTGAGCAAAATTATTCTAAAAGTTATAACCAGAAACATGACTTCTCTGTTTAGCTTCTCTACATTACAGTTGTCACTTCTGCCACAAATAAATAGGTAACAGTTGCTCTTTAAAATAAATCCAGTCGTTTTTCCAGCTCCTGCAGGTGCTTTAATTCCTGCACTAGTCAGGAGGGCACAGAAGGCATTAAGGCATCTGCTCCAAAAAGTCCTTCAAAATATTTGACATAGAGCTCACAATGCTCACCTGGAGTTGGAAAATGTGAGGGAACTGTTATAATTCTGTTCAGTAAAAATGGTTTTACGTACTTAAATGTGTGCATGTAATATTGGTAATGTAGAAGATTTGATGAATTTATATTGAGAGGCAATGCTAATGATGATTTGTTTACCTGGTATAAAGGGCAACTGGACACATTTCAACATTTTTGAGTCTATACTATTTAATTCCGGGGAAGATGGTGGTGTTAGTGTGGTTGGATTGAGGAAAGGGTGACTGTGGAAAGAAAACTGACCTGGAGCAAACTTGGAGACCTGTCTCATTCTGATGTTCCTCTGTTCAAAGAACTTGTATACTGTGTAGAACAGCATGCTGTCCCCTGTTTGCTTGGCTGCCTCTAGGAACTTCCTTGCTGACACCGTGTCCACCACACCCACACTGCGGATAAACCTGGAGGCAAGATGTTGGTTGTGCATGACAGTTTTCACTTGATTTCCTATGTCACATTTACTAAGCTTTCAGCTAAAACAATTCTAATACAGACCAGTATTATGTTTGTCCACGCTCTGCTGTCACCTTGATTGGATAGTAAACGATTGTCAATTTTATATTTTATTGTCTCTATGGGGTATATGGGGACTTTACGACATTAGGTTTGAATGCTTTAACCACTTTTGATAGGTTTTTTTTGCATTGTATTAGATTAATGTGGCAGTTTAAGGTCGTTCTAGGTGGTTTTCAAATTTATGCACCAGGTTTTAAAATCATATAGCGATTTTACGACAATCGTTTACTATTCAATCAAGGTGACAGCCGAGCGTGTGTTTGTCCATAAATAAGAACAAGGAAATGTAAAATGCAGAGACAGAAATATGTTGCATATACATTTCTCAGCATTATAACTGTTTATATTTTACTGTTAACAGTAAGAACTTTCTTTTTCAATTTCAGTTACTTTTCATTAAGTTAACTTAGACAAGGAAAAACGTATATTTTCCAATAAACAGCAATCAAACAATAATAATAATAACAATAATAATAATGCCCTACCTTAAGGCAGACAACAACTGGTGTTTTGACAGCAATACTTCAATGATCTCTTCATTGGCTGTGTTTAATCTCTTTTTAAAAAAGTGAAAGACATTTATTCAAAATCTTAAATGCCCTGTCTAACTGCTTTTTTAATTTAGTATAGTTAAAATTTGATATGAAATGTTTATCATGTTTATCATGTTTGACTGGACTACAATCGTCTATGAAAAAAATCTAAAAGTCAATAAACACAGCTTTTTTCTGGTAATGTATTTGATGGAACTATAGCAGTAAAAATTAAATCAAAAATCACTGAGGTTAAATCCAAAGCATATGGACCTCTAAACATAGTGACCTTACCTTGAGCATATCCAGAGCCAGCTGGTGTGCAGGAGCATACACACTTTCCAATGACAACAAAAGGCAAGCCTGCAACAAATGTGAATAAAGAAAGATGAATATTTCTATTGCT